CCCCCCCCCCCAAACCAGGCAGTAGACAAAGCTGGAGAAGCGGCGGGAGAAGTGCTCTCGGAGATCGAGGAGGCCCTCGAAGGGTTGGAAACCCCGGAGGCGGGATCGGAGGGCGGGGATGCTGTTGGGGGGTTGGTGACGACAACGCCTGCGACGGAAGAGGACCAAGGGAGGGCGGTGGGAGGAGTTTCTACCGTGGGTATCGTCAAGGACTTGGTGGTTGAAAATAAAGAGGTATGTACAGAACGCGCGCTACAGTACAATGGCACTCGAAGAACCACTTCTTGATTTTCATCTTTTCCAACAAAGAGGACAGAACGCCAAGCACGAACCAGTTCTTGACTTCTTGACTGTGCTCCCGAGGCTCGTTTCTTGTGTTTTCCTGTGGGGTATGCAAGTATAGCCCAACTTAGATCGACCATGACGTGGGGAAGAAGGAAGCCCTCACAGCAGCTTGTTATTCTTTTTCTCGATTGAAACTATAAATAGAGAACGACATTCAACGAATTATGTGCAGAGAAAGAGTTGGCATCACGAGGGCCGCGAGGCCAGCAAGGCAGGCTTGAACCTAACGGTAAGCTGGTAGACACTGCAAACGGCGGTAACATCATGATAGTACCTGCAAACGCCAGACAGATAGTCAGGTCGATTATTCCACAACCTCGAGGATGATGTCGAGACCGACTGACACGTGCAAGGGAAGAAACCTCTCTCACTCTCTCGACGAAGAGACCTTGTCAAGGCCGCCATTTACTTGTCGGCTGTTGTTGCGACAGCCCCTTAGGGGCTGTATGGAGCACTCGAGCATTTTAGAACACTCGACCGCACGCTTTCGAGTAAGTTCGCTCGCGCTACCGTTGGTTCACGCCTACCCTGCAGCAAATGCTCCTCTTTACGTCAACTATTGCCTCGTAGTTCGTTGATGCTGTTGTTTTAACATTAATTTAACGTCTCTGTGGAGGACACCTGTCGGGAGTATAACCAACCATGAGTGCACATACAAAGTGTAGGAAGATATAGCTCCATCGGGGTATCTTGTCACTGGGAGAGTGACAGGAAACGCACCGTCGGAGATTTGTCTCTTCCGAAGTCCATAGCCATTTGCCGAAAGGAGAAGCGGAGAGTCTTCGACTCTCCTCTCCCTCTGCTCTCTCTGGCCACTCTCTCTTTCTACCCTCTTCTCCTCGTTTACATATCACGAGAGGAAATAGCCTTCCCCTGGTAGTGGGATAATACTGCCAAGGCACCGGCCTCTGTCTCCGACAGTAGCTAGGGTCCATATTGGCGTCGACGAAGAGATCTACGAAACCGAGAAAAATGACGAAAAGCTCTTCACAGCGGGCGAAAGAGGAAGCGAGAGGCGATACGCGAGAAACTGCGGGAGGCGACGGAACTCGTAGCCGAGAAGGNGCCGGGAAAGGGGCAGCCCTGCTCAACGCGTGTCTCGGTCGACGGTGACGGGGAAATACTATCAGTGCCGGTGAGCCGTTTCCGCAGCTCCTCTATTGCGCTATCCTTCGCAGCTGCTAGGGCCTCCTTCTCGGCTACGAGTTCCGTCGCCTCCCGCAGTTTCTCGCGTATCGCCTCTCGCTTCTCTTTCGTTACAGTGGTCACGGCGGAGCCGTGTTCTTGTCGACGCCAATATTAGTTGCTAGTACTAGTACCGATCCAGCCCACCCGGACGCCTTCCGTGACCACATCAGACCTACTACACAAACGCGCTTCCCTATGGCGCTACGATACCGAAGATTGAGCAATCCACGGCAGTGACGGCTTAGGTTCCCTACGTGAGGCGGCGTTAGGGTGGAATAGCCCCAAGTTCGAGGTGGCTGCTGCCCCGCTACTTGCACCAAGGGTGGAGAGATTTGTCTCCGTCCACGTTTGTTGTGCAAGGAGAGAGATTCCGAAAAGATCACGGGAGTATTGGGGGTCCCCGCCCGCCCCTGCCAGCTAGTGGCACATGGGAGGCCGGCCCGTGTTTGCATCAAGGCGGTTCCCCCAAGTGCCAACGGTTCTCAGAACGGGTGAATCAATGTTGCGCTTTGACTGCGAACGCATGTATCCTGCAGTTCGCTTCCGAAGGTTCTAGATTCTAGTTATCATTCACTGAATGCCGTGTTTTTGGTGCCTGCAAACAAGTGATAGAACGTTCTGGCCACCTTCCGAAACCTCCTCCTTCTTCTTATTCCCGAAGGTAAGAAAATCGACTTGGAACAAGACAAAAAGCTTGTCCCAAACAATGGTGCCAACCACTAACGAAAAGTCATAGCGCCAACGACGTGTCGGCTTCGCCCTCTCGATTAAGGCCGTTTTCAAGCGTTTCTCTCTCTCTCTGGCCTGATGGTATTGACGCGGAGAACGCGCAGTACTTTTTTTTCTCGTTTCTGTTGCGTTCGTGCTGCTCTGACCCCCCGATTGCGGCCGGAACCTCCCCCCCCCCCCCCCCCCCCCCCCCCCCCCNCCCCCCCCCCCCCCCCTTGGGGGTACCGCAGGTGGTGGCTGTGGTGGTTGCCGGGGTGATCGGGTCTAGGTACCTGCTGGTCCAGAGAGGCGGTAAACGTGGCCGAGGTGGAGGCCGGAGGTGAGACGGGGAAAGGGGATGGGCGAGCAGATTAAGTTACCCCGTATCAAGGCCAGATTCGCAACCAAGATCACGTCGCTTGTATGTGTCACTGCTTGCTGCATGGGTATTCACTTGTGAGAATCACCACCCCCCCCCGGCTGTTCACCTGATTCCATCTTGCGTGATTGGTTCTAAACTTGAAGAAAAAAAAAATTGGGGGGGGCCAAAGCTCCACTCGCTTTTGGCGTCATACATTTTAACAGAAAGCTTGTTAAGTGTTACCCTAAAAGGCCCACGCAATGTCCTTCGTAAAACACAAAAAAGACGACGTAGAGGAGGGGGCGGGGGTGGTGCTGCCCCAAAGTCTCCGCTAGCGGGGATCGGGCAGCCCCGGGTTTCGCCGGAGGTGGCGGCGGCCGACCTGAAGAAGCGGGCGGATAGCCTCAAGAGCGCCAACTTTGACGTGGACCTCGACCTCTTCGGCGATGCCGGTGAGGGAGGGAAATTTTTTTCCTCTGTGTGCTTGATTATTCTTATAATTTTTAGCATGGACCGCGCTAGCCGGATGACCAGTGAAACTACGTCAGTCTCAGTGCGGTGGAACAGAAGAAACCAGACACCCCTGAAATTATATGCGTTTTTTTTTTTTTTCTCCCATCATTGGACTCTGTCGTCTGCCCCTCTGGCCCCTATCCTCCACTTCTACTAGCTAGACGACCCAACCGGGGTCACATAGGAGGGGGGGGCTGGACCCCCTCCTGCGGTTCCTGCCTGAGGTATTGTTATCGCGAGAAGGGTACATAGAGCAATCCCTTCTCTCGCGACTTACGAAGTCGATTATGGTTTACTAACAACGAGCTTTGCAACGCGTCGCTTTCATCCTAGACCAGGATTTATTTAGTGAGAAAAAAATTAACTCTGCCGGGACTCGAACCCATGACCTGGCCCTTAGCAGGCTGCGAGGTTACCCACTAGACCACCGGGGCGACCGTATGTGTCCGTTTGAATCAGCTTCGACCGCGCTAGCAATGAACTGACGTCAGTTTCAGTGCGTCTCGAAACGGACGAAACCACAACTTGTGAAGAACCCGTGTGTGTGTGTCACTTGTGTGTTTTTTTCGTCCTTGCTAGCCTAGACCATTTTCCTAAGATCTCACAACCTCCGGCAAGCATATATGTCGGGGTAAACAGACAGCAGTAGTCTCTTGCTCATTACCGTATATAACACAAGATAACACACCCCCTTGACCGATTTTCGAAGCTCGATTTCTCAACTGCAGGAACAGTCACAGCGCCGAAAAACGGCGGCGTTGGAACCGTCTCGTCGAGAGCTTTCCAAAAATGTATCGTTCCGTTTATGCATCCTCTTCGTGAAGTTATCAAGCTTTGAAAATCGGTCCAGGGGGTGTGTTATCTTGTGTCATTTACGGTGATCCGCCGGGGTGACGTATGTGTTCAGAGGGCACACGACCCTGCCTTTTTGCATGCGAGGAACTTGTCCATATCCCCATGTGTCTAACACGTCCCATGCTTCCAGTAGTTTTTTCCTTTTTACGGACAATGTTGTATTTTTATGAGGAGGAAGACTCGCGGTCCCCCGTGTTCTGTCTATTCCAGTGCCCTACCCACCACACGTGGGTACTTAATATGCACGTCTGCGATCGTCGTGGCAAGTTGTGCCGGATTGATCCCCTGCTGTCAACAACATCAACAACAAACACCACCGACGCCGCCGCCGCCGCCGCCATCGTCACGAACACCATCATCATCGACAACATCTACGACATCTACAACATCTACGTGTACACGACGACATCTGCGACATGTGCAGTGGCCGACTTGCCGGCTAGACCGCCGCCGCCCGCACCTCCCGCTGCGGAACCGTCCCCTTCCCCGGCCGAGGCAATGAAAGGGGTAAGTGCTGCTGCTGCTGCTGCTGCCACTGCTTCTGTGGTTGGTCGCGCATGAAAGCGTCTCTTTTGTTTTGCTTCGTGGGTAGGAGGAGGAGTGTTTCAGTGAAAGCACGTTTTTTTTTTGCAAGAGTTTGAAGACAGGAATTCCACCAGATCCCCTGTAACAAACAGCAGGCTACTTTGTAGACCCTTTGTTTTTTCCTCCTCCTGAGGCGTTTTCCGTTTTCGAGTACTGTAGAGATAGCAGGCTTTTTTTTGTCAAGATCCCCCCCCCCCTCAACCCCCCC